GTACAAAGACACAAATCCTTGCTGTGCTATATTATCGAGAAAAGAACCACAAGAAGCCCCAACCCCAATGTATAGCCCGACGACGATGACCGGGCTCCATGGTTTGGACGACCGGTGGCTGTCACCCCTGATGATGAACCACTCCCAGTGTTAGTCTCGGCACTGATCACTGAACTGATTGTCGACACCAGGGGGGCTCCCGACCAAGTCATAATGCGGGAGATATTCGCCGCCGCCACCTGTCCGACCACAGCCTGACACGGATCCGCCTTCTCCGTTACGGTCGCGGTCTCAACACAGGGAAGTGTAGTCGGCGACACGGTATCAACGAACTGGGTCGTCGGCCCGAAGCTGACCTGCCCAGCTGCCGACGCGCACGTTGTCGTGGGCTGCACATCCGGCCAGTCCGCATCATACGCGACCGTGAGACGAAACGACCCATTGCTAATCGGCCACCCGAAAGAATACGTCCTTGACTGGTCCGCATCGAACTCACACCAGGGTCCGATGCTAAAAACCCACTCGAAGATGTACTCGCCCGCCAGCATCGGCTTGTCGGGCTTGTCCGTGCTGTAGATCGGGAAGTGGGAGAGGCCGACGAACGGGTTTTGTTGGAGCGGGTAGCCGGGCTGGTAGAAGCTCTGGGGCACACCGATGGAGCCGGTGTCGGCGAAGAGACCCGGTGTTGTCGAGCTGACGGTCCAGTCGAAGCGCCATTTGTGGGGGCCGGCGATGGGTTCGTTTTGCACGGCGATGACGACGCCGAGGCCGCGGTTGGGGTTCACGCGGTAGCGACCGTTTGCGAGGGGGGTGATGATGTCGAGTTCCACGGTGGTATTGGCCGCTGAGCAGGGCGTGGCTAGGAGGAGTGCAGGGATGAGGTAGCCCGCCCAGCGACAGGTAGGGTAGAACATCGGACTTGCGGGTAGGCCTACTTGCGAGGGAGCTGCGAGGGAGGTGCGCGAGACAGGTGAAGATTCCCAATCTGGAATGAGGACATGAAGAGTAGTGGATAAGCGCGGATGTCGAGAGGAACAGTGACTGCCCTTCTTGGTTCACGAAATGCAGGAGCGTGTCTCGGAGGCAAGGCAGGAACGATGGGCGTGTGTGGGTCCAGAATTCTTACCTCGTGTCCCAATTCGTGCCCACGACGCGAAATGTACGCTGCGACAAAAATTACTGATCTCGGATTTGATCCAACTGCTGCCCATTTTTCCTTTTCATACGCGCTCAGATCTGGCCCGTTAGAAGGATGAAGCCCAAGTCGTCACGTACAAACGTGATCGTTCGCAAGTATATTTCCAGTACCTCTTGGATTCCTGGAATAGTGGCATACAACCGTCAGGATTCCCACCTTCGCAGTGTAGGCAACTGTCTCCCTTTGCTTTGGAGCGAGAGATTTGGGGGATACATCTAACATTTCTAACACAGAATAGCAATCTGGGATCCCCGCCGTGTGCCACTTGCAACGAGAACACGAAAGTGCCCCAGGCACTGCCAGGCGGGAACTTGGCAGGCGTGTTAAGGGGGGCTACAACCCAAAGCTCGGCGGAAGTGCTGCTATCGGTTTGGACAATACTTCGATCGAATACTCTCCTAGAGTGTCTCGGCAAAAGTCGTGGCTAACAAATAAGATACTGCTTAAGGCCAGAGGGAGATACCGAAATGCAGCAAGCGTTAGTAGCACTATGCAGTGCAGATTCGCATTCTCTCGGCGTGCTTTGCGGGGTACTAGGTATTCACAGCATGTTCTTCCGCCCTACACAGTATGTGTTTAGTACATTCGCAGCCTGATCCCCGCAAATAGCAATTATTGACGAACGGTCGAGACAGCAGCCACGTGCTGGTAGGGAGGTCCTGATTTGGGAATTCGCAACCACCACGATGCAGGGAACATTGGATGGCATGTCAGGACGTCCAATGAAATCGAAGAGTTGGCAGCGGAAGGGAACGCCACATCATCCAGCTGAACCTCCTTTTGGATAAGCACAGGCAGAAGGGGACAAGGCTGTGGCCATGAAGCAAGCTTATCATCGCTCCATCCCACCTCTGACCCCGCTCAGATTTATCTCCTTCCTTTCGACTTCGTCTCCATCATCGCAATGGGCTTCTGGCGGAACCTCGAGCGCAGCATCGATCAATTCTTCGACTTCAGCCCGGCCGTATACCGGCGCGAAATCGAGCCCCTGAGCGAACCACAGCTCCGCAGACTACATGCACAAATTCAGCGCAAAGTTCTGGGCTCGACCGTCGGGGCCGGGGCATCTGTTGCCGCGGCCCCGGCCACGTTGGGTGCAAGCCTAGCGCTCACGGCCATCTCGGCACGCCGGATGGACGTCAACTCGCAGCGACTCGACGTTATCGAGGCACGACTGCGTGAAAAGGGGTGGACGGGGAACGACTTTGACATGGGCGATTTCCTGCTGGGCGTCGGTCCGGTCGCACTTGGACATTTGATCCCCGGTGCGGATCATGTCGGCCATCATCTTGTCGACCGCGCCGTGGACCATGCTGCGGGGACACTCGCCGCGCATCATGGAACAAACCACATGGTCGAGCAAGGTGCAAACCATCTGGCACACATGGCGGGGAACCATGGCGCGGGTGCGGGCGATATGATTGTTGCGGGAGGACGGGGCACAGTGCAGGCGGCCCACGAGGCTGTGTACAAGTCGACCCATACCGGTTTCCAGCAGTGGGCTGAGAGCCAGGGAGCGGATGCAATACATGCTGCGACCAAGAAGGCGGGGGGGAAAGTCGCGTCGTTGGCTGTGTCTTCTGTCATGGAGAAGTTGAATTCGGATCGAGCTAAGGCGGAGGAGTCATCATCAACGCGCAAACCTGTCTCTAGCCCTGCTCCGGGCAAGCGGCCTGACAAGATAACTGCTGGTGACGGGGGAGTCTCCAAGGCTGCAAGGGAAGGTTCACGACCGATAGTTCGTGAAAGACCTGGTCGGGCAACAACGACTGGACCTTCCAAGCCGCCTCCAGCTACCAAACCGACGACTCAAAAGACACATGTGTCCTCCGCCACGATCACCACGACAACACCGGTGCGACCGACTATCTCGGCCAGAGAAAGAGGAATCACGCGTATCATGACGCTCCTCTATCCCGTGCTCGTCCATACCCTCTTCGGCGACTCCTCCGCACTCCCGGTGTTGACGGCCTCGGCGCTGCTGATCATCGCCTCCTTGATCCTCCGACGAGAACAAATCCCCCGGATTTCGGCATTCTTCATCCCGGCGCTTGTCCTCTGCGATGTCTCCAGCGCAATGCTCTGGATGGCAAGTATAGGAATCGTGGGATTGGATCGGATTGGGTGGGCTGCGGTTGTAAGATGGATCAGAGTGGTTGTGAGTGTGCTCCTGGCGGTGGTGTTATCTTTGGTGGCGGTCGTCGTTGTGGTGTTTATTGTGGGCCTTTTGCTCTCCTATTTTTCTTGAGACTTTGTTATTGTTTGCCTGTCTTTTAGTTTCGCACTCTCGTCTTTTGATCTTGGCAGTGCCAGGGGTTGGGTTGAGCACGCAAGATACGAGGGGATCCGAAGTCAATATCTGGCGGACCCCTGATCGCCTCATCCTTCAACACTAGGCCGGCGCCACCGGCACACACGTCCTATCGACTTCCAAGTAATTCTGGAAATTAGAAACCTTGTCTGGTCAGGCCGGCTTGTTGATGGAGTCCGCTAAGTTGATTCCGTCATGGTGGAGACTTTCCAAGACACCAAGCCAGGACTACCAGGAGTATTTATAGCTCTTAACCCTGTCCTGCATCTCAACTCAGCACAACTCGTTTATCACTTTAAAGCATCAAGATGGGAGACCAACGCAGAGATGAGACTACAGAGCAAGCCGGGGAGACACCGACTGTGCGCATGATGGTGCTCGAAACCGACGAGCCACACCACGAGACCCAGTCCCGCCGCGGCACCTTCGGTTCCATTCTCCACAAGCACTTCACCGACGCTGGTGCCGCCCACGATCCACCGCTGGGTATCGAGACGGACCGCCGGTTCGTGGTTACGGAAAAGGGCGGCACGATGCCCAAACTCGAGGACTTTGAGAGTTGTCACGCGCTCCTCATCACGGGGAGCGTGTACGACGCGCACGGGGATGTCCCCTGGATTCTAGAATTACTTGAGCTGCTCAAGAGCATGTTCCTCCCAGTCCTCTTAAACACTTTGAAATGCTAACGACAGCAGAACTGTGGATCCACCACCCCGACATGCACTTCTCCGGCGTCTGCTTTGGCCACCAACTCCTCTGCCGCATGCTCGGCGCCACCATCCGCCCCTCGCCGACAGGCGACTGGGAACTGGGCCACAGCAAGGTCTCGCTCCACCCTGTGGGGAAGAAACTCTTCCGGACGGACGACGACGCCGTGTATCTCCACCAGATGCACCAGGACCACGTGGTTGCGCCTCCCACGCCCGAAACTGCGGGTGGGCTGCTGAGACCGGGGGAGAAGGTCGAGGTGTGGGGGTATAGTGAGCACACGGCCGTGCAGGGGGTTTATATCCGCGGGAGGATGTTCACGACGCAGGCGCATTTGGCGTTTGATGAGGGTATGGTGAAGAGGCAGATTGAGATGCGGGTCGAGAGTGGGAGTTTGGAAGATGGGGAGCTTGCGGATCAGGCGAAGGAGACAGGGGCGCTTGAGACGGATGGGGACTTGGTGGCGGGGGCTATATTGAGTTTTTTTCATGGGGAGGATGAGGGGATTGAGTAGTGTGATGTCAATTATGGGAGTAAAGGTTTGGGGTTGTGGGGCGTGGTGTGGCATGAACGAGGGCAAACTCAGGGGAAAAGCATATCCAGGTACCTTCGCTTCCGGTTGGGAATAGTACGTGGCAGTTTGCAAACACACCTAAGTTTGTCTCGCGGACTCTGTTAGCGGTATTATTCTTCCAGCATAGCGTAAAAGCCAGGTAAAACACGTCAGAGGTTTCCGGGTATATAACCTCGAAACTCGCTATCCTTCATACCGAAAACCCAGGAGGGCGGGTAGCGTAGTGGTCAGCGCGTTCCTAAGCGTTTCAGCGTTGTTTTCTTCACCATTGATTACCTATGCATTACTCCAGCGTTTAGCGAAAGACCTGGGTTCGAATCCCAGCCCGCCCAACTCTCCATCCTCTAGGGTGGAACCTCTTTTTTGAGATACTTCTCTCCCAGCAAATTGGTCTCAAGGAACTGAGGAAGATGCACACTAATATAGAGTCTCCGTATCGCGGCATCTTGATCCCTACACCACCAGTTTGTGATGACTAATATTAGCATCGACTTAGCATCGACAAAGACGCTACATCTAGCGTGTTGACATGGTTAACAGCCCCCTTTTGCCTTTCCCATCCTTTATATGCCTCCCAGTCTTTCCCCTCTATGCCTCCCTTTATATTTAACGTCTAACACCAGAGCAAAAAAGCACAACGCAACTTTAAAAAAAATTATCAAGGGCCCCTAATCGAGGCCTATATAGGTAGTATACAAACCACGCCTCCGCAACCTCAAACCCGGTGCTTCCTAACATTGGTGCCGCTCTTGTTATCTTCCGACTTATCCCCGTCGGCCGAGGTCAAGCGCATTACGACCACATTATAGAGACCATTGTGGAGCGCTCACTTGCAGATACGACAGGAAGTTGCCGGTAAATATATATGTCTGTCGACTCAATTATTCCTGTAAATCGGCTCCGTCTATTGCTCAGCTCATTGGGGGCAGGTGAGTAGATCCAGGAATGCGATGGTCTCCCCCTCGAACAACTGCAAGGACAAAAGAATGTCAATTTCATCTACCTCCTAACGACGGGTATGTTATGCTCTCCAAATGATCTCCAATGAGTGACTCCCAATAGGTAGCATGGCAGCCACCTAGAAAGCCACTAAATCGTTTTGACAAACCCAACCTCGACCAGACTATCGGCATCAATATCCAAATCCGCCAGCTTGGTCCGCGAATTCTCCCGGATCCACAAAAACGTCTCGAGCACCATGAACCGGAAGAAGCCCTTGACAGTCCTGGCCCGGCGCACTTTCATGACCTCCTTGCCGATGATATACACGACCTGGTCCTCGTACGCCTTGTTGAGCGCGTCCAGCTCAGCCTGGATTTCCGGGGTATGGTGCACCGACCGCGCGCTCCCATTCGGCGACGGCGCGCCTCTTTCCCGCGTGATATACAGAATTAGATGCTCGACCAGCGTCCGGCCCAGGTCGGGCGTGAGCACGTCGTCCATGTACCCATGCCTCAGCGTGACCCGGTAGCAGGACGGGATGGACGTGCGGGAGATGATGAAGCGCTCCTCATGGGGCACCGTCGGTCTCGAGAGCGGCCGCATGTGGAAGAAGATGGTGATGGCCGGGCGGGCCTTGAACTTGCGGATGAACTGGGTGAAGACGGTGGGGACATGCAGGCCGACCTTGTCGAAGAAGATGCCCAGCCCGGAAGCGTTCGAGATCTTTTGTCCGCCGAACGCTTGCGTTAAAACCAGACTGCCGGTCGAGTCCATGCCGACCAGGTCGTGGGTCTGCATGGTGTCCTCGCCCTCGGCGTTCCACTGCTGCTCCTTGCCGAAGCGCCAGACGATGAAGATGGTGGAGAGGATGAAGGCCAGCAGGAGGGTGAACCAGGCGCCCTCGGGGACCTTGGTCAGGGCGGACGAGAGGAAGACGCCGTCGAGGGCGGCGAATACGAGGAAGAAGAAGAGGACGACGTAGGCTGGGATACGCCAGATGATTAGGGCTACGAGGGAGACCATGCAGGTGGTGATGAAGGTGACCATGATGACGCAGATGCCGTAGGCGTTGCCGAGGGACGTTGTCTAGCTCTGGTCAGTGTACAAGTCCGAGACACAGGCAAGGCACGTACATTGTTGTAAACAGCCGTCACGACAACGGTACCAATCATGAGCAACCAGTTCGCCAGCGGCATATACACCTGCTCGTGGAACTTGCTGCTGGTATGCACCGTCTTGATGTGCGGGAAGTACGACAGCCGCATCACCTGCGTCAACAGCTGGAAACTGCTCGTGATCATAGCCTGGGACGCCACAATGGCCGCCAGCACGGAAATCACGAGCGAGAAGTAAAAGCTCCCCGGGGGCACCGTGTTGAAGAACGGGTTCGTGAACGCCTGTCCCGTCGCGTCCGACGAGATGAACGCGGCCTGCCCGATGTACGCAATCAACAGACACGGGAAGGCCAGCGCGAGCCACGAGATCTGGATCGCGCGCCGACTGAACGCGCCGAGGTCGGCGAAGAGCGCCTCCACGCCGGTGAAGGCGAGCAGTAATCCACCAAGCGACCGCCACCCGTCGTAGCCGTTGCGCATCAGATACGCGCCGGCAAAATACGGACTGAACGCCTTGAGCACGGTGTAGTCGTACTTGGCCAGATTGTAAATGCCCGAGCACAGGTTGAACAGCAGCCAGACGACCACAATGGGCGCGAAGCTCGTGCCGATCTTGGACGTGCCGAACGGCTGGATGGTGAAGAGCAGCACCAGGATCGCGCAGGATATCCCCACGATCGCCGGCGTCTCCAGGTCCGGGTTGGCCACCTTGATGCCCTGGATGGCGCCGAGGACCGACTGGGCCGGAGTCAACACGCCGTCGGCCATGACCAGCGACACGCCCAGCACGCCGACGACTTTGAGGAGGAACTTGGTGCCGCGCGAGCGCTCGATGAAGCTGCGGAAGCGGCGGCCCGTCGGGCCTAGGTCCTGCGTGTCATGGCGTTCGAGCTGGATCGTGCCCGGGATGCTCGGGTCGCGCCTGGTGATGTTGGCGTAGCGCGCGAGGAGCGAGTACAGCGCGAAGGTGCCGCCTTGGCCGTCGTCGTCGGCCCGCAGCACGATGAAGGTGTATTTGACGGTTACTATGAGGGTCAGGGTCCAGATGATGATGGACAGGGCGCCGACGAGGTCGTCCCAGCTGGGCTGGGTCGTGAAGGTCGACGAGTAGACGTAGAGCGGGGAGGTGCCGATGTCGCCGTAGATGGTGCCGGTGCTTTGGAACGAGAGCCAGAGGAGGAGGAAGCCGCTGTATGTCTTGGATGTGTTAGCAGAGTCAGTAAAAACAGGAGGGCAGGTGAGACAAACCTGTTTCTTTTTCTGGTTCAGGTCTTGCTCGGCAATCTCGCGAGCCTTCTCTTCATCATCAGGCTCATGGCTCAGCTGCTTGTCCGAGAGACGGTCCTCGGGCACATTCGAGCTTCTAGGCGGGTTAATACCATCGGCGAACTGGATGCGCAGGGCCGATGTGTCCCCCTGATCCGCCATGTCGGGTCGTAGGGGGGTCGCAGTGTATATTTTCAGGACAGATGTAGGAAGCCGGGAGTTGGCAGCTACGAAGCAGTTGGGTCAAAACACGGGAGAGAAAGGGTACAACACCTGCCGGATCATATCAGCGAGGAGATGCATGCGTTAAATGGAACTGAGCAGGTGGGCGTGTCCAACTCCCCGAGCGCTCTGAGGAGCCGCCTGCCTGCCTGGAAGCAATGTCGCGATGCATACATTTTGTGCGTCGGTCTACCTGAGAGCGGTCTGGTCCACGTGCAAGCGCGTATAAGCTGCAGACCGCTCAGTCACAGCAATTTCCAAGGTTGGAACCAGACCACTACACCGCGATACTTCGGTTCATCTGGCCGCCTCTCTCACCAGAATGTCACGACAATGTTGTGTTGTTGTTCTGCCCGCCGGAAATGGTAGCGAAAACGTGGGCTCGGCTCCCAAGGGCCCAGGCATGCAAGTGGCGGTGTTCCATGTCGTCGGCGGATAGTTATCCTCGAGATGCCATTCGAGTAGCCGAAAATCACGCAGTTGGTCCTACCCAGCCTCTGGCCGGAGTTGCCCGTCTGGGTAATTCGGACAGACCTGGGCAATTGCTGTTTGATAATGGGATCCCCTGATGATCCCACCGTCAGCAAGTAGGAGGTCGATAGCTCCCAGCTCCGGGATTGGTCCACCGCCCGAGCTCGACTCCGTTCACATGCAGGTTCGAGCCGAAAACAGAGATCAAGTCGTTCGGGTCTTGCGGGTGGGAGCCGGTGGGAGGCCGCCCATGGCGCAACACCGATGCAACGCGCGCTTCCCCGCACATGCACGCATCAAGCTTGGTTGGATCAAGCTTGCTTGGCTTGGCAGGGGTATTTGTGAAAGAAAACAAAGGGCAAGAGATTGTTTGGGAATGCATCTTGCTGGAAATATCGACGGTCTACTTTTTGGTGATTTCCTCCTCTTCTTTCTTTCCTTCTTTCATATTTTTTTTCTCCTTTGTTTGTCTCACTTTTTCTGCCTTGCTTCACATCGAGGAGCTGGGTTTTTGGTCGCCCACGATCCTTTATCCGGCCCCTGTAATGCACGTCAATCTCCTGTGCCTACCGAGAGAACAAGCCGGAAGCGGGAGCCGTGGAAATATGTGATGACTACTGATCAGGAAGAGGTGTTTCCTAAAAGATTTTGTCCTTATTATTGCGAAGGAACAGGAGGACGGCTTAACATTTGCCATGTCATTCTCTTACGCATTCTAGCTTTCATGTTCCATTTCACGGCTGCAAGGACACCGTTTTGGTATATCATGAGATTTGGTAAATTTGAGGCCCAGTCCGTGGCAAGCTGTCTCCTTCTCAAACAGTAAAGCGCCCAATTATCTCCATGGTTTATGAAGCCATTCGGGCAGATGAGATGACGTAAAATGTGGCTTCTGAAAGCGAACCTGGTGGAAGGGAGTTATCCGCAGAAGGCCTTGAGGCAGCTACAGGGACTTTTTGAGACTTAAATGTCTTGGTTACGTAGGTATCTATCTTAGATGAACTTACTGCATCGCAAAACTCTCGAGGCTTCGGCTCACCATCAGCTACATTGCCATCGTGGAAATACCTCTGTTTGCTTCGGCATGTTCGATCTTCTGGATAATCGTTGGAGGTACTTCGCCACGAGCTGCTCCTTGATTCTGCGCGTAATTCTTGTACTTCTCCTGTTCGCCTATGCGATGTCCTTTATGTCGGCCGACAACTCCCAGCGACCTGTGAGCAAAAGGACAATTCGGATCGCTAAGAGGCCGGCATATTTGGTCACCAAATCGTTGAAGAGGGTCGGCGCCGTGGTGCCTCTGACACGAGTATCGA